CGAAGAGGCTTCTAAAATAAAATCAGCTGTCACGAGATGCCTGAGCCCCACTGAGCTCAGTGCTGGAGCTGGTCTCCAATCCACACTTTCCTGCCCTGGACTGATTTTCCGAGTTGGCCCGGGTGACTAGACCCACTTTCTGGAATTCCCTCGATCGTTCCCATTTGATTGGATTCTATTGCTGTTCTAGAACAGGAACGACTTCCACAGAAGGTAGGAGCCGACGTCCCGCTCATCCAGCTGATCTCTGCTGATCATTACAGTCCACTGAGGCTGCAGCACTTCCAGCGCTTAAAGAGAGAAACATTAACCTAAACAGATGATATTTTAGATGACGACGCATTCTTGTGCGTTATCAGCAAAAGGAAAAGGATTTTGTTTCGCTAATTGAAACTTCCCAAAGACCTCCTTCTGCAGCACATTCTCCACAAGGATTAGTGAGTCATAAAACATGCGTGGCCCCTTCCTGCTCCCCCTTCATCTGGAATATTCCAAAAGCGAATCAAATTGGAGACAAAGTGCTAAGCCTAGCATAAGGAAGCGCTCGAGGACAATCCGCTCTCCTTGTAAAAGAAGTTATTTTGATAGATTTGACAGAGTAATTATTGTGCCTGTTTTACTTTGTCGGCGAGGAAGAAATTACTCTCCACAGGCTGACATTTCAATTAGTGTATAGCTCACTTGGCTTTCCTGTCAAACCTCGCCAGGCAAACGCTTCGGTCAGTACACGCCGAACACTAAACTGCATGGCTTAAGGCCGCTGATGTGAGTATAGGGCGGACACGGAGGTGACGCCTCTGTGATTAGAGGACGGCCCTGCCGGACGCAGGTCTACGGTTCTCGAACTCGCTTTGAGCTACAAAGGTACTCTGCCTTTCCTCACGTCCTTAAACGACTCTCTTATTTCTCTGGATCCACTCACTAACCCCTCACCCTTCTGCTCCTCGTCTCCATGCCATCCGGGCGAGAGAGCGACAGCTCACCTTTGGCGACTCTAGAGCTGGATTGGGCCAGCAGGAAGAGCATGGAGGTCAATGGGCCTTGGCTAAGCTCAATATAGCCACTGAGTCATATTTGCTGCCAGCAGCATGGCCTCACATGTTGACTTATTATGGTCTTTTCCACTTCCATTACACATCAGCCGGTGTCATCACTTGGGCCGCCGTTGTGGAATTGAAGAGATAAAAATCTGTGGAGAAATAAAAACTGACGGTCATGGCGGTGGTAAATACTCGTCAGCGCGGGCCAACATCTATTCTCCACTGACAGGAGAAATGACCTGGGCTTGAGGAGCAGGCTGGTGGGTTTTATTCCTAAATCAATGCTGTTACCACAGCATTAAAGGAGAAGTTCGCAGAAATGTAGTTTTTGTCAGAGACCCTGAAGCTGTTCACGACTAGAAGGTTCACAAAGTAGATTTCTGTCACCATGAACCTGGTGTGTCCAACGTGTGGCCTGGGGGCCATTTGCAGCCCTAGAGTGATTTTGTGAGGCCTGACTTGTGTTTTTAAAGTGGTGGAATTTGGTCTTTTGATGTAGATCGACACTTTTAGGTTGAGATTTTCACTAATATCTTGTGAACTTTTGCGCAGTGTAGAAAAAAACAAACAAAAAAATGCCATATAATAGTTTTTAATGTTTTTAAATTAAAAATGCATACATTTTTGGCACCTATGAGGAGTTGTCTTGAAAACTCTCTAATATCTCAAATTTTTAATAATTTTCTTAAAGGTTATTTGTATAAATTATTGCCCTCCTCTAAATCATTTCTTTGATGCTTGATTTGGCAGAATTATCCTGGAATTCCAGCTAGAAGCTAGCTAAGTAGCTTCTTAGCTACACTTGAAATTTGCTCCACAAATAACCAGGAAATTCTACGTACACGTGTTTCGAAACTGACAAAGCTAATATTGTCATGACATTTTTAAGGTTGGAGGTTTTTTTAGGATGATGGTAATTCACTACAGATCCATCCCTGTTGTGACTAGCCGTTAGCATCTCAATCTGCTCAGCACCAACCTTTGTTTTGAGGTTTTTCCAAAGAGCGATTAAGCACAGGAAATGATTTTTCAATTTGGAATCTTTTCAAACAAACTTACTTTAAAATATGAACTATTGTTTTACACCAGTGGTAAAAAGCCAGTTCCTGTAAACCAATATTTGTTGGCGTCAACTGAGTAACAGCAGCATCAGAAAAGCTTCTGTTGCATGTTTTATTCTGTTCTATTGCATGCTGATTGAAAAGTATTACAGCAAAAATATTATGGGGGAAATTCAAAGAAGTTATTTTGATATGTTTAGTTATAGACAGTAAATGAAGTATAGAAAATTACATTATACTAAATGTGTATTGAAAAGTCTCAAGAACATTTAGAATCAAACCAAATTACACAAAAATTCATCTAAATCTATTAATTCAATTGGATTAAATATGAATATTTAGCTATAAAATAAACTCATTCTGATGCTAACGATCTATTAAAAATAAAGGTAGAGTGAAGAGATCTCTTATCTAACATCTGAAAGTCCATTTGATGGTTTGATTCAATCATTGCTCGATTATTAATGTCTCCGTTGATGTTCTTCTCCCTGCACCTCAGTAGAGGATTTATGGTTGCCATCTAACTAATAAAGAAAAGCCAAAATAGAGGATTTCTTTATTTCACTTTTTTGTTTTATTTGATTTAAAAACTTTTAACATTGAAATGAAACATTACAAATTTAGATTAGAATCTAGATACGGAGACTGAACTTAATATAGTTACGTGTTTCTTTACGCTCGGCGCCCCATACCTCCCCCTCAACCGTGTCCCCTTCAGACATGGCCTCCACGAAGCTCCCCGTTACGAGGGAACATGACGCTGCAGTCCGAGCCGGGTTATGAAAAGGCTGGCTTTATTTTCTTCCCTTCCAGTTATAGTCCCCCCTCAAACCACCTTACCTCACCTCCATGCTATGGCAGCTCTGCATATGACTGAAGTCAGACATAACCGAAGCACTGTTGTCATTGCTCTGAGACCCTGGACCCTTCCTGATGAGCGTAGGACAGCTCTAGAGCATGACGTGAACACTTAAACATGGTGATGAATGAGGGAATAACCCTGGTGTTCTTTTAATCTGCTCCGTATTGAGATACATCAGAGCCTCAGGTGGTGGATTTATGACCCGTATTTATAGGATGTAGCGGATGTTGTTTTAGCTGACAGCCCATTTCTCCTCTCAGCGGTTCTACCTTACATTCTAGACGTGGCAGAAAGCTACAACAGGTGTGGCGGTGATACTTTTATCCCAAAGTAACTGAACCGCATCCTCACCATTAGTTTTTGAGTATTTAGATTTAGTATTTTGTTTTTCTTCATGTAAAAAGCTAATTCGGTATTTTGACATTGCAATAAAGTTATGAGCTATTTTCTCCGTTTGTTTTATATAATGTTAATGATTCTATTGAAATGTAATGACAATATAATTTTTGTTTTTGAAATTGTTTCTTATGCTGCACCGTCTGCGCTGTGCATGGGCGTAGTTTTGGGGGAGGGCAGGGGGGACATGTCCCCCCTCACTTTTTACCACCCCAAAACAATATTCCGCTATATTAAACAGACACTGTTTGAGCTCTAGGACCAAATGGAAAACAACCACTTGTGTACCCCCTTGGTCTGCCCCCCCCCCCCTTCTAAAGTCAAAACTACGTCCATTGCGCTGTAACTGCTCAACCTTTAACATTGCTTTTGTTCTGGTTCTGAAATCTGAAATTCATTTGTGTATTTAATTTTATCTAAAAGTATGTATATTGCAATTGTGTTGTTAAATTGATTTTAATGTTCCTACTAATCTCAGAACGCACATTGAACTGCCTCTGTATTAAGTGTGCTTTACAAATAAAGCTGCCTTCCTAAAGATGCTAAACTAATTTCTCCATCAATTATTTATTGATGGATATTTATCCATCAAACTCAACATATTTGCTGTAAAAATGGTTTAAAATGCGATAAATATAAAAAGGGAAGCAATAGTCTTTGATGTCCTTTTAAATAATTATATTTTTACAATATTCTATATTATATTGGGTGACTGCTTCCATCAAAAATCTATGAAGCATAAATAAGATAAGGATTAAACTAACCAGAGTCCTTTATGCTAACCATAAATCAGTCTACAAAAGTACTATTTCATATAAAACATTTCAGTGAGTAATTTAGGTCAGACAAACAATTCCTTTTGGCTCGAATGTTTTCAGCTTGGTTATGATGGATAATTATGATGTTTTCTTCATAAATAAAATAAAAGGGGTTGACACGACAGCCATGTTTTAGACCTGAAACAAAAGTTAGTCGCCGAGGGAGATATATATATATATATATATATATATATATATATATATATATATATATTAGGGATGTAAGAAAATATCGATATGGCAATATATCATGATTTTTTTCCTGCGATTATTACATCGACATTCAAAAGTCGTGTATCGGAAATATCGATATGGCAACATATCGTGATATTTTTTCATGCGATTATTACATCGATATTCAAAATCCGTGTATCTAATTCTTGAAAGAATTTACATGCAAACATTTTTGTATTTTCTTTTCATTTTGTGCAATTCAATTGCCACTCTCTAGTTGGCAGCAGTGTGCAACGGGTTTTGTTTCCACCATTGAAACGTAAATCCCTCCATCATGGTTCAGATACCTCATGTTAAACATGTTACATATCAGTTTGGACTGTTTATTGAACATTCTTACAATAAATTCAGTAAAAAAAATCGCTTGTAACGTCTGACTGAATATATCGCAATGTATTGTGACATTTCGTATTGTCTCCCCTGTATGTATGGTATCACTAGAAATTCAAAAATACACATCCCAGATATGTATATATATATATACATATATATATATATATATATATATATATATACATATATATATATACATATATATATATACACACACATACATACATACATACGCGTGTGTGTGTGTGTGTGTGTGTGTGTGTGTGTGTCTGTGGGAAGTTGAAGCCCAGCAAAACTGAATCTCCCCCTAGTGGCTGGCTGCAGTATTTATTTCAAGTACCGCCTCCTCCATGTAAATGAATGAGTGAATGTCCTTACTAAATTGTATATCTCTGTCAGTATTTTCCAGGCGATTCACACAGTTTCTACCTTACAAAACACTTAGAACCCGAGATCTTTTAGTCCCAATGGCTCCAAACATACAACCTGATGAGATGTTGAGTGAACGGAGGACACCCACATACCCTACAGAGATGGATTTCAGCTGTAAAGTCCCATTTTATGAAAAGCTCATACGACACCATTAGGACCGTGATTTGGGAGGCTTTGCAACCACATGGTCACTAACTTCTTTTTGCTAAATGTACTCCAGAACACACTCGTGTTGAGCAAAACAATCAGGAGAATTTCAATATATCAAAAGGTTAGAAAAGAAGGCGAATAATTTCTATTTAGGGTCTTCTTTCATCTGAGAGCGCCGCGGCTCAAAGAGAGAAAACATGCCAAGGGCTAAAAGGTTCAGTGTGGGTGGAGGTTGAGCCTTAGCAGAGCTTTCTCTCTTTCCTAATGATGCTTTGTAGCACAAAAAAAGTCAGATGTAGAATCAGCGCTCGTCTCTAATTGGCTATCCACAGGGATGTGCTGAAATATATGAACTAAAAACCACCGAAATCGCTCTAAATGATGAGTTTTCTGTCAGGATTTATTATCCTACATCTGCTTCTGTTCTACTTCTTAGGTCAAATATCCGTATCCTGAACTCCAAGATGAATTCACCAAATTCCGCTTGGGTTTTCAGGAAAATTCTACAATAACAGACAACACAGGCGTGCGTTTAACGGATTTATTTATTTTACATGTAATTCAGGATATCTTCACTAAGTTTCCAACAGCTAATGAAGTAAAGCTCGACTCCACTGATTCACGTTTGTTCTGTTACAGTAGAAGAAGCCTTTTCCTAGTTATCTGTCCCTGAAGTACAATTACTGAAAAGTGAGTTCTATCACAGCTTTCCCCGATGTGCCAAACCAGTATCGAGTAGGTGGCAAATATCAGCCCATCCCTGGAGGAGACACGCGTTGCATGAAGTCTGGCTGGCTTTTGATTCAACGGTTATGGGGTGTTTTTATTTGAAAGTCACATTCATGTTTTTTTTTGTGTGTGTTCTTTGGGTGTGAAGCTGCAGGCAGCACTAGTAGAACCAGATCCGGGCGTCTGGAGGAAAAGGCAGTCAGCGCCGAGAACCAGGAGGTCGAGTCGGTGTCGGTGAAGGAGAGGATGGCGATGTATCAGGCTGCCGTGTCCAACAAGGAGAGCAGCAGCTGCCCCTCTGCAGCGGTAAGACGATACTTCCAGTCGTGTGCAACAAGAGAAGGAGGCCAGGATGTGTCGAGCAGACACCCGCCGCCACTTGCTCTGATCAGGGAGGTGGCACTGACCTCTGCTGGGATGGTGGGGTGCAGGGGGATGTAACTGACGTGTCAGCGCATGATAACAAGTAAACAGGAGCAGGTCTTACTGTAAACGCTTTAGAGATAAACAAAATCTAAATGAAAAGTAGTTTTCAAATGGTTTTATTTGCGCAGGCAGCGAAGCGACATCAGACCAGTCTCTCTCTCTTTCTGACCTGTCAGGACAATGTCTCCAGTCAACCTAACATGCAGGTTTCTGGTCTGTAGACCGGAGTACCCAGAGATTACCCACACATGTGTGAGGAGAACATGAATGCTCCACGCAGAAAGGCCACAGCAGGAATTCAAACTAGCAACCCTCTTACTGCAAGGAACTGTGATATAATTCGTGCCACCGTACAACTGACAAAATCAAATGTAGCCCAAGACTTCAGGTGAATCATCTGTTGGATGATAAATAAAAGTGGAACTGAAAATTGGCACAGCTGTAATTAGATCCTCCACCAGAGGGCAGTAGAGCCATTTTTACACAGCAGGTTTTAGGTGAATAGACTAATCCTGTTAAAGCACTAGAGCTCTGACAAAGAGACAGATCAAGTACAACACATTCAACTTTTAACATACGAGGTATTTTCGTCTACCGAAATTTATTGACCCTTTGCACCGACGTCATCAAATCACGTTGGACCACTGTGGTGGACGGCAAAAGCATGTAAACAGTGAGCGACACGATTGCTAAACAAAGGGAAAAGCAGAGCCTGAAATTGTTTTTGGGATCAAAACAAAAACAAAACTCCTCCAGCATTCCTTCAACTAGTTCATGCCCCGTTCAGTTATCAGAAGAAGTAGCACATCTAGCGGTATGCTAACTAGCTTACCAACGTTAGCGTACGTTCTCTCTGCAGCTGTTCACCGATGTAAACATGTTGCTGACTTTGCCTAAATTCACCCCGCTGGATTTATAATTTTATGTTATAAACAGCGTTTCACTTTAAACCAAAAAGTCCGGATCCCTGCCAGCTTCTGTTGCTGGTGGTGTTACCGGGTTCAGCTGCTGCTCTCACACTGGAATGAGAAGATCTCTGAACGCCGACGCTCATATAAATAAATAAATAACGTCATTTTAACACACGTAATCATACATCGGAGCTTTAATATTGTTAATAATTGTCTCGCTTTACACTACAGTGCAGCCTCCATCAGGATTATCAACAACTATAAACACATCACATTTATCCCTGTCCCCGTCTTCCTCGTGAAATAAATGAACGTTAATCTTACTCGGTAAAAACATGTTCGCTGCAAATCTGAGGCCTGCTAGTCTGCTTGATTGATTGATTGCTGCAGTTCATCTCCGTCCTCAGTCTCCATCAAAGTTATTAAAAAGAAAAAGCGAGTTGAGTTTACATCCTTGTCTGTTAGTGGAGCAACCACGCAGCAAGCTAAAACCATTTTACAGTCAAATCAACTAAATAAAAGCGATAAAAGGCTACAAACTGGCTTGTTTTGACTAGCTTCACTGAGTTTCTATGGGTGTAAACGGTCTAATTGCCATCCATCATGGCGAAGGTGGCGGTCTCATGAGTGGCGTGACGTCACGTGCAAGGGTCAAAGGTGGAGAAACGAGGGCCCAGGCGGGATTCAGCCCCCAGACTCCCGGGTGAGAGTCATGCATGCTAACCAGTCAGCCAAAGGGACGTCCCCTTGGCCAAGTAGTCAGGGCGCATGATCAATCGGGACACTGTGACAGGACGCTCACACGGTCACACTTAGTTGCAGTGAAACTCCGCCCACTCCTGCGCCACAAAATGAGCGTCTTAGGCAAGTCAGTATTGGCTGGTTAGGGTCCAGCCCAGCACTCTAACCACTAGACTACTGTTACATGACACCAGTCGCCTAAGCCACGGGGGAGGGGGCTGGACAAGGGAGACAGGTAGACTAGCTTCCAGGAGACCAGGGCCTGATGATTAAATTAGTTTCCATTTCCAGGATTTTCTAAGTAAAACTCAAAATTTTCAGCTGAAACCGGAAACTGGGGTTGGATTGAGTGTCACTCCAGTTTCACACTGAAAGCATCAGTGGCGCGGAACGGCAGCGGAACGTCGCCGCTTCAAAAAGAATTTATCGTAGTTTATGGAGTGTTTCAAACCAGCGGCGACGCGACAATTTCAAGATAGGATCGACTTCTATTTTTGCGGCATGTCGCTTCTAGGATGCGCCAATTTCCGTAGCTAACATAGGGCTAGACAGGAAATCACACCTTTTCAGTGTAAAATCGTTGTAAAATTTCGGATTTCAGATGTCGCGTTGGGTGTGAGTAGTTTAATCTTTCTAAAGCGTATTGTTCTTCCTACTCAAACAGACAGGCGTCCTCTTTTTACAACTTTACGATAAAATAAAATTCATCCTTCCACTTTCTTTTTAAAACAGTCGTAATGCAAACCACTTTGCTGCTGGGCTAAAAGAAAGAACTATGTTGTTTAACTGTTATTCTCATAAGTGTCTCTAAGAGAAACAGATTGTTTAAAGCGTTGCTTTCAGATCACACACCACGCTGAACAGATCTGACTAATCTGAGGTTATACCAGCAGTGCATCTACCTGGAAGTGTGGACCCCTTTTTTATTCCTCTCATCAGAAGTCATTTTTCTTACATCTTAAGAAAATGTCAGCATTGTTTGGGTCAGGCAGAACACACTAACACTTTAATAGTGGATTCGGAAACATTCAAATCAACCCTGCAATTAAAATCCGTGTTCGTTTGGATCAGCAGACACAGCCTCTATACGTCAGAGGGGTTTCACTCATTTTTCCTCGCGCAGTTAAAAACGCAAAAAGCAGAATATGTAATTCCAAAGATCCTTTATTACCATGTTATTATTCATCACCAAGGGAGAGACAAGTCTCTATGACGTTGAAGTGAATGTTTGGACTTCACACAACCAACACTTCAATGGAGGGAGCGGTTTGTCAGCCAAGACCGCCACAATAAACAGGCCTATTTAGAGTCTAAAATGAAGGCCAACACCATATGATGTTTTACTTCTAGAGCAGGGGTGGGCAATCCTGATCCTCGGGGGCCGTTATCCAGCAGGTTTTAGTTTTTTCTCTGATTAAACACACCTGGTTTGAATGTGCTGGTGATCAACAGGTTGCTGCAGAGCCTGATGAGCTTCTGAACAGGTGATTTGTCTAGCAATCAGGTGTGTTGGAGCAGGTAAACAACTAAAACCTGCTGGAAAGTGGCGCTCGAGGACCAGGATTGCCCACCCCTGCTCTAGAGTATGTTCTACAACTATGGCATTTAAAGTGACAATGTGTAGTTTTGACTGTTAATCTCTGTAAATATTAATCAAAATTTTGTTGAAAATGAATTAAATGATGCCCAGGTGTTCGTAACCTGATGCCCAGGTGTTCGTAGCATAGCAAAACAAACAGCTTATCAGCATGGCGGTGGAGGGTTGATGACTTGGGCTGCTTGAAGTTCTTGACTCCGCCATGAACTCTTCTGTAGACCAAATTTGGTCCAACAGCTGAGGCTTGGAACAAACTGTGTCCTGAAACACACCAGCAGAGCTTCAAGGTTTAATCAATGGTCCAGTCAGAGTCCAGACCTAAGCATGAACAGAAACGAATGCTTGCAAATTTTCAGTAAATTAACATTGTAAAGAAGACTGGACCAAAGGTCTTCATGTGAAGTCAGATAATATTCAAGTTACTGCTGCCTGAATGGCTTCTATAAGCTTGTGGATTCATAAAACAGTTTTTCATTTTCCACAGACTCTGAACTTAGTTTCAGTTTTCATTAAAAAGTGACATAAATGCTGTATTTTCTCCATTTAGCAAATGTATTATAGTGCTTTTCTGACCCCTGCCTCAAGTCAAGTGTGACATTCTATAAATGGCTGTTGCTCAATTCCTCCGGAGCTAAATGAATCAATGAATATGTCAAATTGGTCAAATTTTCTCTTTTGGAAAAGCAGAAGAGCCATTTGTGTCACAGTGTAGGAACCATCCTCAAGCCTGGCCTGCCAAACTCGTTCTCTGTCTATTCTACACAGAGAACGAGTCTGGACACTCACTGGTAGAGAGGGGCGGGACTAGCCAGCTCAAAAATAACCAATCAGAAAAAAGGCAGAAATGACGACTGTAAATGTAGTATATATATATATATATATATATATTTTTTTTTTTTTTTACTGTAGTCAAAGATGGCGTCTGGCGACGGCGCAAACATCTTTATTTCGAAGTAAGGCTTTTAGCCATTTAGAACAGAGGAAAGAGCCGCAACAAACTCCGCTTCAGACGCCATCTTCATTGTATATGACTAATCTGAGCGTCGCAGTGTGTGACATAAGTGGCTCGGCACTGATTGGCTCACTTACAATTCTCAGGGGGTGGGGTTATTTGAATGGGAGCGTTACCAGACCCTTTGCTTCCAATAAGGAAGAATTGGCAAGCATGGCCATGTGGAGACTACTGACAGCTGAAAGTTAATGTACTTGGATCCTGTGTGTGTGTGTGTGTGTGTGGGGGGGGGGGGGGGGCTTAAATAGGCTTAAACGGGCTTAAATAAGGCAATACTCCTTCATTCATCATTCATGTGGACAGTTTTTTTAAGTGTTATCAACATTAGAGCCATTGGTTTGGAAAAACAGGCACCAAATATAAAAATCTCCAGTATAGAGTTTCCATAGGTGGGGGCAGGGTGTCATTCATTATTTTTAGGTGATGAGGGGCTGAAACCACCCCAGATCACGACTGGTCGTAACTAAGTAGGGTATGACATCAGCAGATTGTCCAAGGCAGGCCGTAGAAAACTAGAAAAGTTTGTGTGAATCAGAATGGATAAACAAGCAAATAAGCGCTATTCCTGCTGCTTTAAAGTCGTCGTTATCTCCCAACACTAAAGCACAAAGCGGAAGTC